AAAGCGATTGAAATCAAGTCTCACTGGCTGAGGCGTAGAAGATCCATTCAAGGCACTCTCAATATGGCCCTCAGTAGTTTATGGCTATGAATAGCAAACAACAACACTCACATCTATACTCTGATTCTCTTCAGTTTGTTTTAAGACCTTAATTCCTTCTCCATCTTTTTTGTTCTTTGAAATTTTGTTGAACTAGGATTCACTGTTCCAGGGAGATTCCCAATCTGTTACTTGCTGTCATCATCCTATAGTGCCCTTGAACTCCTCTTGTATACTCTGCAAAATGCTTCCTGTAGCTAAAGCCATGATGTGATTCACATTCATTTTTTTGGGAAATAATTCTTCACAGGTACTCTTATCAACTTCAGAGCTCACAAAGTTGCAATATTCTTATTCTCTTCACTCTTTATTATTGTAGAGTAATTACACCTTAAGTTCAGGTAAGCAAACTTTTTGATTGGATACTAGATTCTTTAACTTTACTTTCCAATTTTTATTTCCCTAGCATTCTCCAAAGAAATGAGTTTTGTGATACTTTTTTTGTTACAAATGTATGGATTTTATGTTTTCATCCCAATGGGTTATTTTATGTTTTTATAATAACCCAACTGGTTATTACTGCTGTTATTTAAATTATTCAAGCTTCAGTCAGTATTATCTTCTTTAAGTTGGTTCCTTAAGGTGGCTCCTAGGTCCTGCTGACATAAATAGCAGCCTCTGTTATCTTACTTTCAGATATGAAAAGATTACCAAGCACATTTCCTGCTCGGATCTAGAATCCATCATTTTTCCAAGATTCCCTGGTTCTTTTGAATGGACATACACACTGTGGAGATTACAGATGCTTGGACTGGTCATTTATTGAAAGTAATTTTAATGGCTAAAGCTAAAAACTACCCACTTTGGGGATAAAATGAATGAGACTGAGATACAGTATTTTTAATTGTGAAATGACTGATACAGTTTCATACCTGTATCTTCTTTCTCTCACGTGAAAATACTGGCTTTTCATGATTCCACAAGAAATCTTGTAGAAGATCTGTAAGTCCATGAATCAGATACAACACTGAAACAACCTCAAGGAAACACTCACTGCAGATGACGCAGCTTGTTTTTATTTTGTAAAGATCAGCCAAGTGTCCAAAGTCACCAACTAACAAGTACAAAAAATGTCTCCTAGCAAAGTTTCAAGATATTCGGTCCTTTAATGACTTTCTCTTATCTTCCATCGTTTCATTATTTCAGCAAATATATTTACTTATTTATATAAATACCTGATAACAGATTTCCAAATTTTATGATCTAATGATCTTTCTCCCTATAGATTCTTCCTTTGTAAACTATCATTTTGAGACTACTAAAGAAAAATTGTAACACATGTGAGTTTGTTGTGACAGATCTTCAAGGGTCCCACATTCTCATACTCTGCTTGGGATCCAAGACAGAAAAGATTAGACTCAGTATCTGAGCTGGATGAATTTGTAACCAAATGATCAGTAGGACAGAAAAATAAAATGGCTTTGGGTCATTATCCAAGAAAACCTACACTTTCAGAAGTTCAGTTCCAAATGGATAATGGTCCAGGGGTCATGTTGTCAGTGGTTTCATCGAGTTTCACAACCTAGATTCTAAGGTTTGAGAATAAGAAGAAACTTTGATGATGTGCTGACTCCCTTGCAAATAACCCACGTCTATTCCCACTTATATTTCCCAATAGAAATGAAACATAGATACTCATTCACAAGAAGACGAACATCAATGTTGTCTAACACTGTTGGGACATATGCACATTCTATACTCCTGTACATCTTAATTCAGATTAACACAGATGGGGGACAGGCAGAGTGGCTCAAATGGTAATGCATCTAGCAACCACAGGGCCCTGAGTTCTAGCCCCAGAACTGAAAAAAAAAAAAATTCCGATTAATACAGACATAAAACCTCAGTAAATATTGATGCATGCTCAGCATAGTCATAATCATACTGATTCCAGATACCAGCTTCCTAGGACATGGGAATCTGGATCCTCTGGTATCTCAGAAATGTGATGATGGTAAAAAGTAAAAAGTTCAATCTGGACTCTCCCCCAATATCTGAAGCCGATAAAGCAGAAATTTTACTCATATAGCAACCGTTAGGAATATTCAAAGTAATTGAGGCAGATGGAAAACAGATGGGTTATTTTCTCAAGTGATTTGCAATTTAACTTCACAGGTGCTGACAAACATTTCATGTTCTTTCTCCAGGGATCTTCTCATTTCAACAGCGTGATGAATTTTGATTTGGAAAATGGAATTCATTTCTTCTTGTTCTCCAAGGTCCCAAGGCCATTAATTCTTTTGTTCCTTTGGGTGCTCTCTGAGGAGAGTAAAAACTCACATGGCAGATCCTGCTGACTCCAATTAAAGAAGGCCTCAGGGTGCTCACAAAGGAGAGCTAGAATTTCAGGTACGACTTAAAACAAGTTTAAGGTGCAATCCATATAAGCCACTAACTCATGGGGAAAGTACTTGCTATGGTTTGAATATGAACCTCCCACACCCACCAAGTGGCAAAGGCTTAGTGATCCTATTTGGGGAGGTTATGCAAACTTTAGCTGGTGGGGCCTAGTTGGAGGAAGTAGGTCAAATTCTATCTGGTGTCCAGTCCCTCTCTCACTCTCCCTGCTTTCTGTTTATCATGAAGTGAACAGAGCCTCTGCCACATGCCCCCATGCCACCTTTGATGTTCTGCCCAAGCACACAAGGCCAAGCAGCATGGACTGAACCCTCTGAAACTAAGTCAAAATAAACCTTTCCTCCCTTGTTTTTCTTAGGTATTTGGTCACAGTGATGGGGAAAGCAACTAACTGAGAAAACCTGTACCAGAGAAGGGGAATGTGGCTGTAACTAACTGCCAATGTGGTTCTTAAGCCTTTGGAACTGGTTTGTGGGAGGAATTCAGAAATATTAGGAGATGTGGAGCCCTAGAATCCAGTAAGTAGAGCTTAATGGGTGATTCTGGTGAGAGCTAAGACAATCAGAACGCTGACAGGAATGTGGAGAGTACTTACATACTATGTTCATAAGGTTTCGGGTAGAAATGAGAACCCTATTGGGAACTGGTCTAGAGGCCATTAGTGTTACATTATGGCAAAGAATTAGTCTACATTTTTGTCCATTTCCTGAGATTTTGTGTGAGGCTGTATTCAAAGTAATGGACTAATTAATTATTTGGTGGATGAAAATTCAGAGATTATACCATTAAAAAGAAATCAAGAGCTTTCCATAGAAGGCAGTAAGAAAGATGTCTTGAGGGCATCTCAGGAATTGGCCAGACCCCACCCATCTCAGGATCAGGAGTATAAAACCTTTTAATGCATCTGAAAGACTATGCTTTAAGAAGAGGGATCCAGAGTGCCCTGCATTCACAAAGAGCCATCCAGGTAAATGTCCTCCAGGATTCAATCACTCAGAGGCCTCAGATGACACTGTGCAGTCATGGTCCAACAGGGCCTGGCTACTGTTCAAGCTGGCAGCTGACTTTAGAAACATCCATGTGTTAGTGCTTTTGTAAGCATACAGAATCCAAGAGTTATACCGTCATGGATGTTTCCACCCAATTTCAAAGAAAGGCCCAAGAGACCAGGGTCAGGATCCTTGTAGGCAGTCCCTGAGAAGGCAATGCTAAAGTTGTAGTGGAGGCCCCAGGATGTGGGAGATACGAGAAATGTGGAACATATGACCAGGAAAGCCAAATGCAGCTGTCCAAGCCTTTTGGAGCTTACATTATGACACTGCCCCAGATACAGAAAAGGGAGCTACAGGATTTCCTGTTTGCTCTGCTGAGTTTTTGTCTTGCTTTAGTCAGTTTCTTCCTTGTTATTCTCCTATTCCTCCCTGGTGGAATGGAAATGTTCACTCTGTGCCATGTTGGAAATACGTAACTTTTTCTATTTTACAGGGGCTTATCACTCAAGAGTTTTACCTGAGTCTCAAAGGAGACTTTGAATTGGGCTTTGATCAGTGTTGGAACTGTTAAGACTTTGGGGATTCGGACTAAACACATTTTGCATTATGAGATGACCATGAGCTTTTGGGGGTCACAGGGCAGAATGTTATGGTTGTAATATAAAATGTCCCCCACAACCTGGGCACTGGTGACTCACACCTGTAATCCTAGCTACTCAGGAAGCAGAGATTAGGAGGATCGTGGTTCGAATCCAACCCAGGCAAATACTTCGTGACCCTGTCTTGAGAAACCTTTCACAAAAATAGGACTGGTGGAGTGGCTCAAGGTGAAAGCCCTGAGTTCAAGCTCCAGTACTGAAAAAAAAAGAAAAGAAAATGTCCCCCACAGGGTCATGCACTAAACACATGGCTCCCAGCTGGTGGCACTATTTTGGGAGATTCTGGAGATTTTAAGAGGTAGGACCTAGTTGAAGGAAGTTAAGTTGAAGGACATATGCATTTCAAGGTTATACTTTATCCTCAATCCCTTCCTCCTCTACTTCTTGTTCATCATGAAGTGAACAGTCTCCTCCTCCACATGCTCTGACAGCTATGGGGCCAAGCAACCATGGACTGAACCCTCTGAAACCATCACCCAAAATAAGTATTTCCTCCCTTCAGTTTTTTCCTGTCAGGTATTTTATCACAGCAACAAAATGAGCTTCCCTCAATAGAAGGTAAAATGGTGTTATACCTACACAATGGTGGCCAAGGACTGAAGCTTAGGAGGAAGCAACAAGGAGCAGTCCAGTAGATAAGAGACTAGGCAGATGCTTCATTCTCACTGCTTTACACATTGAACACCTTAAATACCTTAGATAACTGTACCTGTAGTATATGAATATGGATCAAATTAAATTTTACATTCAAATATAACAGTATGGAACTGTTCAGCTGAAACTTCCATACACATATACACCACCAGATATGTTTCTTCTATTAAAACAAAAAATAGTTGGATGCCAGTGGCTCATGCCTATAATCCTAGTTACTTGGGAGGCAGAGGCTGAGTCTGAGAGGATCACAATTAGCCCAGATCAAACACTTTCCAAGATCCCTAAAAAAACCAGACCAACATGTTCTGGAGGTTTGACTCAAGCGGTAAAAAGCCTGCTTTGTAAGAGCAAAGCCCTGAGTTCAAACCCCAATCCCACCAAAAAATAAAAATAGAACAAGTTAGAAATAAGATTTAAATCTCAATTTATTTAGTAATAGTAAGATGATAAAGTGTAAAGACTGTAAATTTACCTCCTCTTACAAATCCATTAGTAGCTATTGCTGAAGTAGACAATCCTGTGATAGTTGTCACAACAGTAGCCATGGTTATTACAACAACTGATAGACCTTTAGAGAAAAAAAAAAGAAATTAAGAATGCTTATACTCTTATTTAAGCTTGTCATTATTTAGAATTGGTTGGTGTAAGTACACTAAATTTACATTATAAATAAGTCACTAATTAATTTTGAACCCCATTTTTGAAAAATCAAATTAGAAATCAGAAAAGGTACTATTAATGTAACAATCGAGGAAATAAAGAAAAAGAGAGCTTAAGGTGACTTCAATTACTTGAATTTTATGAGGTTGAGAACTTGGGCAGGCACAGTTATTTTACCAATTCATTACACTCAAATCAAGTACTATGTAACTTCACTTACCTATTCCAGCTTGACCCACTATCCATGACAATCTAATAAAGAGCATAACACCCCAAATGTTTAACATGCAACGTACCTAGAAGGGAAAAAAGAGGTCAAGTCATAGATTAAAAAAAATAAACATTACAGTAATAAACACTGTACCAGTCAAATGTAAGATAAGTGCATCCAAAACTGTTGAAGTTAGTTTTTAAATCTAACACCTGTAGCTGTTTCTAAACAGACTCTAATGAAAGTTTAGTGCTAAACTAATGTAAGTGTAATGTAACATAAGTATGTGTGTACAAATCAATGTGCTTCTCAAAATTATCACAACAGAAGCAACACAACACAAAAGGACAAGAAATATTTTAAGACACTAGCCCTTTAAAAAAATAATCCACATTTCTCTTTATCATACAAGTTTAATTTTTGCTTATTCTTTTATAAAGAATAGTTTAAATATTACATATTTGTCAAGCACAAAATGTCAATTGTTCCCCGATTTTTCAAAAAAAATTAAATTTAGTCTCATATTCTCATGCCTTAGGCTTACTAATAAATTTTGTGGGTTCTTTTTCCTCTTTAAAAAAGTTTTAAGAGCCAGGCACTGGTGGCTCATGCCTATAATCCTAGCTATTGAGGAGGCAGAGATCAGGAGGATCTTAGATCAAAGCCAGCGGGGCAAATAGTTTGCAAGACCCTATCTTGAAAAGCCCTTCACAAAAAAGGGCTGGTAGGGTGGGGGCAGGGGGGAGAAATGAACCAAGCCTTGTATGCACATATGAATAATAAAAGAAAAAAAAATAAAATAAAATAACCAGAAAAAAAAAACAAAAAACAAAAAAGGGCTGGCAGAGTGGCTCAAGGTGAAGACTGAGTTCAAACCCCAGTACTGCCAAAAAAAAAATTTTAAGGGCTGTGTACATAAGTCAAGTGGTAGAATGCTAGTAAGCACGAAATCCTGGGTTCAATCCCCAGTACCACAAAAAAGAAAAAAATGTCCAACTGATTTGTGAAACTTTCTCCAATTTATCAAGGGCAATTTGTTTATATTAATAAATATATCTCCTCCGTTGAATTTAGTATCGAAAAAGAAGAGGAATGAGTGATCTTCCATAGTACTCAAATAGAACAATTTAAGCAGAGGAAGAAAAAGAATTCTCTTAAATTAAGTATATACATATATATATATATATAATATATACACATACTAATACACCCTTGATCCATCCAAACTTCACAACTCCTTTACTTTCTGCAGTGTATGTGACCATGGCATCTCTGGTTGGAGTACTTTCTTCTCCATTTGCGAAGCCATCCTCAAAAGGTTCCTAATTATAAAAAAAATATATTGTTTAAGAACTATTTGAAATTTAAGATGAATTCCTAACAACAAACTAAATATATTTAAACATATTTAGAAGACAAATAATAGACATAGTAAAGACGAATCAAGTGCTCTACGGTCTGGAATAATTTGTTCCCCCACATAGGTTCATGTATTGGAGTTGGTTCCCAGGGTGGTGGTACTGGGGAGGCCTGGAAGCTTTTTAAGAGGGGCTAGGGTGAGGTCCCTGGGTCACTAGGATATTGTCCTGAGATGGGAACAATTCTCCTGATATGACGTTATCGCCCAAGTTTCTTGTAAAAGTCCTGGGCCCTAACCCCTGAGTCCTACTGGGTCCTGTTGGGTGATGTATACTTGTGCTTAACCCACTGCTCCACCACTGCAATCCAACATGAGGTGACACAGCCAAGGGGAAGCCCTAACCAGAGGCTACACCATAACTGTTTGGCCTTTCACAGCACCCAAAGTACCTAATTAAAAATTTTTTTTTTTTACTAAGTAGCCTGCCTCAGGTATTTTTATTATGGTAATGAATAGTTAATCCATAAAGGTTTTTTGAAGTATTTACCCTGAGGAAAATGATAAAGCAATATAGAAGGAAATTTAATTATTAAAATTTCTTAAAACTTATGCTTGAACTGTGACAGCAAACTTCTTAGTTAACTCCAGAGTTTTAAGCCCAGCCATAGTTCCAGTCACTTGGAAAGCAAAGATAAGAGGATCATTGAATTAGGAAGTTCGGAGGCAAGCCTAGGAAACACAAGTAAAATCCTAGCTCAAAAGCTAAAAAAGGGTAACATTTACAAATTTTACACCCTTTGTTGTGGGTCTGCCATACACAGGCACACTGTCGGCCATGCATAGGCTAGGTAGGTCAATAAATTCTTCTCTAGCCACAAGCTTATCACCTAGCTACCAACCTTTCAACATGGGAATTTCAACAGTAACAATTTAAAAACTCTTCTTCATCACAAATCAATGTAGTTTTCCCTCTTATGTCCACGACAGTCAGGATTGGGTCCTCAAGATTCATTCATATTCCCTTACCTTTACTCACTCCTTACCTGTGAAAGTAATGGGAACTTTAAACCGTTACGCTTAAGTATTCATTCTTTCAGTGCTCTTGATAATCTCCTTGAAATTTTTCTCAGACTCGGCTAATAATGCATGGTTGACGAATGCCATTTTCAACAACTAGTGTTTCCTTCTTCTGTAAAGTTTCATGTTTTAATCTGTAATTCTTAGTTGTTTTCTACCTCCTTCTGTGATACATTTCCAAACCCATTAACAGAGCCTTAACACATAAGGAGGACGAGACAGCTTGAAGTGTATGTTCTAATCTAAAGTCATTCCCTAACACTAT